TATTAAGAAATGTCCTATCCGACCTCCTAAAAAATCTAAAACACCATATATAGCATTTAGTTTTTCTAGTACTGGTAATTTTGTGAATATAGCACAGAGTGCTCCTGCTGCTCCTACTCCACCTGTAACTCCTGTAATGATTTAACAAATGATCATCTCCGCATTCTCTGCCTTAGGGCTCTCAGATAAATTTTTCTCAACACCATCTCCTTGGTACTTTGATTCTGTAGCCTCTAATCATATGACTAACAATTCCAATTTTCTTACTAATATAACGAAATACTTTGCAAATCTCAAGATTTATACAGCTGATGAAAACCCTTTATCTATCACAGCCACTGATGACATTTCTTTTTCTCTAACAAACGTTTTTGTTTCTCCTAATCTTACAAGTAACCTTATTTCTATCGATTAGTTAGTTGATGACTACTATAAAGTAGAATTTCTTAAATATGGTTGTATTGTACAGAATCAACAATCAAGGAATACTATTGCAAGGGGGCCTAAAGTAGGACGTCTTTTTCCTCTCCCATTTCCTTATCTCTATGTTTCTCTCTACCCATTATCATTTGTAATTCTACTCATGTTGATTATCGAACATGGCATAAACGTCTCAGATATCCAAACTTTAATGTACTCCATATTTTACTAAATTCTGTTTTACTTACAAATAAAGATTCATTATCTCCAATTGTTATTCAATTAGAGTTTGGCAAAAGTAAAACTTTACCATTTCCCACTCACACACTAAATATAGTCTACTTTTTTTATTTGATACATAGTGATATGTGGGGTATGACACCAGTTACTTTTTATGCTAATTACAAGTACTTTATCACTTTTATTGATAATTATAGTCATTTTACATGGATTTATTTTCTTTATTTTAGGGACGAAATATTTTCTATCTTCAAGCTTTTCCATGTACATATTAAAACTCAATTTTCCGCTAAAATCAAAATCTTTCACTCTGACAGTGGGGGTGAGTACATGTCTCATTCTTTTCAAGAGTTCTTACAAACTAATGAAATAACTTATCAACAATCTTATCCTTCAACTCAACAACAAAATGGGGTGGCGGAGAAAAAGAATCATCATTTTCTAGGTGTTGTTCGCACCCTTCTACTAGAGTCTTTTGTACCCTCTCGGTTTTGGTGTGAAACTCTCTCCACTGCTGTGCACCTCATCAACAGATTTTCCTCTCCCTCATTAAACCATGTTTCTCCTTTTACTCGGTTACTTGGTTGCACTCCAAATTATTCTAACATTCGTACTTTTGGTTGTGTGTATTTTGTACATCTTCCTGCATATGAACGCACAAAACTTACAACTCACTCAGTTCAACGTACATTTTTAGGATATTCAGTATACCAAAAAGTTTTTCTTTGTTATGATTCTAATATGCGTCGTATTCGGATATCTAAAAAATGTGACTTTTTTTAAAATCAATATTTTTTTGCTACTCACCATGATTATATTTCTCCTTCATTTTCTATTTTGCCATGATTTACTAACTCTTCTATAGATCCTATAACTTCTAAACCTCTCTTGGTGTATCAACAACGCGGGCCCAAAACATCATATAAGACTTCTATACCTAACGGACTCCCTCCAATATATTCCTTGACAGTTGATTCTATTTCAACAGTTGCACCTGCTCCTCTTAGACGCAATACTTGTGTTCGTAGACCACCAAATAGGTATGGTTTTATTCCTCTTTTTTCCTTAACTGCCACCTTGTCATCTATTCCTATTCCCTCTTCATATAAACAGGCAATGGAGCATGAGTGTTGGCAGCAAGCTATTGAAGCAGAATTTCTGACACTAGAAGAAAACTAAACTTAGAATGTTGTTTCATGTCCCCCCATCTGTGAAACCCGTTGGAAGTAATCTTGTGTTTTCAATAAAACCTCGATTTGATGGATCTATATACCATTACAAGACTCGATTGATGGTTCTTGGCAATAAGCAAGAGTATGGTTTAGACTATGATGAGACCTTTGCACCAGTAGCTAAGATGACAACCGTGCGGATTATACTATCCCTTGCTGCATCAAATGGATGTTACAAACGCGTTATTGCATGGTAATCTAAAGGAAGAAGTTTACATAAAACTTCCGCATGGTATGCCTACTCCATCACCTAACGCTATTTGTAAACTAAAATGTTCTTTATATGCCTTGAAGCAGGCATCGCGGGTATGGTTTGAAAATATCAAATTCACTCTTCTTCGTTTTTCATTTATTTAAAGTCAATATGACT